CCTGGGCAAATTTCCTAGACATTAGGGCCCTAAATTAGATGCTTGTATCTTCGTCTAAGGCTAGCGTCAAAGGTGTTCCCAACACCTGGGGCTTGGGAATCCCCAGGCTGTTGGAGGTGGCTTTGAACGTGTGGTTTTGGGTTCCTGTGTCCCAGAAAAGAGCAGAGAAAGCATCAAACCAAAACCAAACTCACTGCCATGGAGTTGGACCCGACTCATAGCGACCCTTCCTTGGGTTTCCGAGATGGTATCACTAAAGAGGGAGCTCTGGTAGCATAGTGCCTAAGGCACTTGTCTGCTAACCAGAAGGCTGGCGGTTCAAACCCACCAGCCACTCCTCGGAAGGAAGATGGTGCAATCTACTTCCGTAGTGATACCACCTCGGAAACCCAAGGAGGAGTCACTATGAGTCGGGTCTGACTCGATGGCACATAACAACAACAACATTACTAAAGAAGTAGATTGCTCAACCTTCCTTCCGAGGACTGGCTGGTGGGTTTGAACCGCCAGCCTTCCGGTTAGCAGTCAAGTCTTAGACACTACGCTACTAGAGCTCCTAGAGGAAGCATGTTGTTGTTGTTATGTGCCCTCTAGTCGGACCTGACTCATAGTGACCTCTCCTTGAGTTTCCAAGGCAGTATCACTATGCAAGTAGATTGCCCACCCCTCCTTCTGATGAGTGGCTGGTGGGTTTGAACCACCAGCCTTCTGGTTAGCAGTCAAGTGCCTTAGGCACTATGCTACCAGAGCTCCCAGAGGAAGCATAGAACCCCTTAATAAATAGCGAGGTTTAAGTGCCCCCAGAGGTATATTAGGGAAACAGTAGTCTTTGGAGTGAGAGATACTTGGATTCAAATCCTGACTTAGTCATTTCTAGACCAGCTTTGCTCTTAGGCAAGTGTTTTAACCTTTTGAAGCCTCTGTTCTCACATCATAAATGAGATAATAATGCTTCTCTTGAAAGTTTATCATAAGCATTAGAAACATAAAGAACCTGGCACCACGTAGCTGTTACAGCATCCAAAACCAAAAACTAAACCCATTGCTGTCGAGTCAACTCCTAGCAACCCTATAGGATAGAGTAGAACTATTCCATAGGGTTTCCAAGGCTGTAATCTTTACAGAAGATTACACATCTGCAAACCACCAACCTTTCAGTTGGCAGCTGAGCACTTACCAACTGCACCACTAGGACGCCTGTCATAGCATAGACACTTAATATCATCGTGGCATGAAACACTGTTCTTGTTAAAGGGGTTTTAGACTATGAGGAACAAGTTGGGGAAGCAGGAAGCTTTTTCTATATATAAGATATATTTATGAGAGCTTTTGGAGTTGAGCTGTGTTCGCAATAACACTGATTAATTTGATGAAAACATTGGAACACAACATGCAAGTATAGCCATCTATCTGTGAATTCTTTTTTGGCACCTAGGTCTTGAACCTCCTTGTCTAAGAGGGAATTGCATAAAAGACAAAGCCAAGAGCATGTTTCCTTAGCTTCTGGAACCTTCTGATGACATTGAGGGTTTTTTGTTCCGGTTTTCTTCTAACCACCTCAGGCACTTTGCCACCTTTCTGAAGTGTGAATTGCCTGCTGTCAGCCTGGAGTTCTCACCTCGGCAATCCTGGCTGCAGGCATATTTGCATATTGGATGCTGTGTTCCTTAAACCGCCCCCCCCAGGTTTGAATCCATTTGGAGTCTGTGTGTGAAGGCTGACTATTTTCAAACCCCAGAACAATTTCAGCTCCAAGGTCTCCAGAAAAACAGAAAACCTCTAACAATAGCTCCATTGATTTTTATGTAAATGTCACTCTTCAGGAAAACACTGGGCTTTTTCCCAGCGCTCTACCACATACCCTGAGCATTTGTTTTAGTGGGAAGTGGGAAGAGAGTTCTTGAGTCAGTGAACATCTGTTGAGAGCTGGTGTTCTGGGCCCAAAGGAGACAAATTCAGTCTGTCTCTTCCCTGTACCCAAAGGTCCGCAGAGAGCTTTACTGCACTAGGTATATGTGCTTTGACTTAGCTAGGCCAGAACCTATGTTTCCCAGGATTCTCTGCTTGTATAGTTCCAGATTAGGGTTGACCACAAGAGAATTTTGTGTAAAATTTGGAAAACTGAAGTGAAGTAACAGCCAATTTTTACACTGTGAAGGACAGAGCAGGATACCAGGATGCATGGTACCAATGTATGAACATCGACACTGATCTAACTTGTTGTCAAAGGACAGAACCTAGGCCTGCAGCTTCCCAGCTCCTGCTGAAGCTCCTGCTGAAGCTACTCCAGTCTTGGGCCAGGTGTCTGTTCAGCTCTAGGGCAAAGAGTTTCAGCTTCTGCTGGTCACGTACGTCATTGCCCTTGGAGATGGTGAGAGGAAGTCACAGGTTTTAGTTTGTCTTTGTGAGTTCTAGTTGTTCTCCTTGTTGGTTCAAATTTGTTCTCACAGATTCTAATTTGTCCTTATTCTCCTCTACTTTATATCCTGCTTTTTTCCTACCTGCCGACCTACCAAACCAAAGCCAAACTCACTGCCATCAAGTCGGATCTGACTCATAGTGACCCCTGCTTGGGTTTCTGAGGCAGTATCACTGTGGAAGTAGATTGCCCAGTCTTCCTTCCGAGAGGAGTGGCTGGTGGATTTGAACTGCCAGCCTCCTGGTTAGCAGTCAGAAGCCTTAAGCATTACGCCACCAGAGCTCCTCACTTGCTAATCTAGCTGACCTATAAAGACTTCAGGCTCAACACCAGAAATTCTAAATAGGGAACTGGCCCAAGCTGAACAATTGAAAGGGCAATGAGAAATTCTGCCTTTGTAGAACTATCATCTCCATGGGTTCAGAGCATAGTTGGAAAGTAAACATCTGGTCCTAGCTCTTCTGGTTCCACTGAGATGAACAGTTGGCCAGTTTGATTCTTAGATTTGGTCACCCCTGAACATTGGCATCTACTGAAACACATTTTTGCTAGAATGCTCCTTTTTCAATGCCCTAAGCACCCTCATGGGAGCTCTGGTAGCATAGTGCCTAAGGCACTTGACTGCTAACCAGAAGGCTGGC